ACAAGGAGTCCCATCCTTTACCCCAGGGAAGAACTTCCTGCCATGGAATGGAGGGAGGGGGGGCACAGTGACTACAAGGTGTTCCTCCCTGGGGTAGGGTGTTGGAGGGAAGGGGGCAGGGGGGGATGGGGACGGTGACTACAAGGTGTCACGTCCTCTACCCCAGGGAGGAACTTCCTGCCATGGAATGTAGGGGGGAGCACAGTGACTACAAGGTGTCCCGTCCCCCATGGCAGTTCCTCCCTGGGGTAGAGGGTTGGAGGGAAGAGGGGGGGCCTACCTGAATTCTGGAACTCCAGCTGTACCGGATTGCTGGTCTGATTCCCCACCATCCGCCAGGCTCCGCCCCCGCCCTGCGTCCAGGCCACGATCGCGCACCGATAGGCTCCGCTGTTGTGGTTCTGTGCTTGGTGCAGCCTGAAGATATAGACGCCCTCCTTCCCTTTCTCCAGGAAGGTATAGACGCCCTCCTTCCCTTTCTCCAGGAAGGTATGACTCCCAGCGGACTGCATCCGATGGATCACCCCCTCCCGGTTCAGGGAGAGGACATTGAGGGGGGCCAGGCTGGAGTCCGGGGGTGTCAGTGTGACCTGCACAGAGTACTGGGGGAAGGGGATATTCTTGGGCTGGACCGTGCACATCATCTCGAAGGTTCCTCCCGCCGCCGACACCGTCTGCATTGGTCTGGCGGCCACGGCGAGTCCGAAGTCTGCGGGAAGGAGGAGGAGCAATAATCAGATGATGAGTATAGACGCCCCAATGGGACCAACAGAAACTATAAATCTTCCCGCCTGCAGGGTCCAGTCCTGGTTCATGGAGCCCACCAACATGGCCGCGGCGGGGTCCGGCGCCTGGGACGGCGTGAAATACCAGGACGCGGACAGCCGCGGCTCACCCGGAGCAGTCATGTGACACAGAAGCTCGGTGGGCTCGTCCGCCATCTGGGGGAGAACGGAGGCGTTCAGCGTCACCTGGAGGTCCGGCACTGCGGAGAGAGAGAGAGCGGAGAGTAAGAAGATGGCGGCATCCCTCTGCAGCTTCTATCGCACATTGCGAGACGCTCCCCCCGGGGTGCAGAGACGCCAGAGGGAGAGGAGACAACTGTGCAAGACTGGAGGGGAGGCCGGGGGTCAGATCTGATCCCCACCCTCCCAAGCTGGGTACACCTCAAAGCCGATTCTAACCCGCTCTTGTTCTGCAGGTACTGGGAAAGGCCAGTGGTGTACTTTTGCCATGGTTGCAAGAAGCAGAAAATCTGGTTTGGCAGTTATCAGCAAACCATAACTGGCCAAAGAGTGTAAGGATGTTTTACACGGCACATGGGGATCGCTCCCTACTGAGCCAGGTCACTCACACACACATATCCTTCATTATCCCCCAACACTAATCCCATTATTGCAGGCGTAACGCATGTGGGGGCGGAGCCACATGGGACGGCGTCAAGGATATAGGTCTGTGTGACCTCGCTTGCTCTTTTGTTTGCTTGTCTGGTGTTAATAAAGTATTTTGTGATTGAAGGAAAAAAAAAAAGGTGGTGTGCATCTTGGACTTCACACGAGCGGGACAGGAAGTGATGTGAAAGTCCCGCTGGGGAACACAGAACAATACTGAAAACCCAAATGGTTGGGGCCGGAGCTGCAAAATGCAATTAGGTTTATTGCAGCTTTTCCTTTAATGAGATTCCAGCGTTGTGCGCAGAGCGGACGCGGCTCGCGGTACTGGAGGCGCTGAGGCGAGGAGCGCTAATCGCACAGCCCGGCAGGAGGTCGGATGTAGGAAGAGTCATACACGTGTAATCCCCCGAGAGCCGGGCCTGGGGCACCTCCAGCTTGCGGGTGACGGTCCGCTCCGGGGACGGTTCTGGGTCGGGTCCACCGAGCACCTCCTGACTGTTTGCACCGTCAGACCGGAACCAGCGTGCCTGGATCAGCACCGGAACATTGGAGTCCCGAGACACCTGGCAGGACAGGGCGAGGGGCTCCCCCTCCGGAACCTTCACCTCCTTCACCGGCAGGGTCACCGTCAGATCTACGACACAAGAGACGGCCAATCAGAAGACAGGAAAAAGGTTTTACTCCCCCATTCATCACTCCACCCACAATCGTACAGTCGTCTATCCCATCTCACTCACCCATTGGCTGAACCGCCACCTGAGCCACGCCCACTTTCTTCTCCTGGATCTTCTCCCATCCGTTGGGCCCCTGCACCCAGGTCTGGGCCACACAGCTGTATTCCCCTCCATCCGTTGACAGGGCGCCATCTACAGCCAGCCGGTACTGATCGGTTCCGGCCGTGTCCAGCCGCACTTCCCCGGTGCCGTATCGGGCGGCATAGTCTGGTCCGGGCTGGAAACGCCCCAGGTGGGTCAGTGTCAGGACCTCGGAGGCGGAGCCTGCTGTCTGGCGCTCCCAGGTCAGGGACAGGTGAGTGTGAGCTGCGGCTTCGGAGACGCCCGCCTGGCACTGCAGCTGGAAAGACCCGCCTTCCGTCACGTTGCGGGCGCTGGTCGTACGACCCTTCGGGCCCTGCAGTCTCAGCGTGTCGGAGATCACTGGAGAGAGAGAGAGGAGAAGGACATCAAAGAGGAGAACGCCAAACCCCCCCCCCCCAAA